GGCTCCGGGGCCTACGGCTCCGTCTGGTGAGTGCTGGGCGGGTGTGTGTGGGGGTGTGTGTGTGTTCGTCTGTCCGTTCCCTCGGCCCCTGCCCGGGCTCTCTGCCTGGAAACCTGCCCCGGCTTGTAGGGACCCATGGCGGGATGCGCGCAGGGCGGGCACCGCGGGAAGCAGAGCGAGGACAGCGGGGCTTGCTTGTCCTCCGGGGGTTCCTCTCCCCCCAGCTTTTTACCAGTCTCTTGCACGAAACGCTTTTCCTCCCGGTGTGAGAGCGGTAGCGCCGGGAAGCCGCAGCCTTGTCTTTGGAATGCGTCGGGGATTGCACCACATGGCAGGTGGCACTAAAACATTTTTGCAGGGGAAGATAATCACGTCCCAGCCCCCCCCGAATGATCTCATATGGACATACTTCACCGTGCCTCCTTGCAGTCAGTAGGTGGGGGGTGGAGAGGGATGGAGGCTGGCAAGTCCCCCGGAGCTGGCTTTGCAGAGCCGAGGGCCTGGCAGCCCTTGTCCCAGTTTCCTTCTGGACCTGAAGGATAGGTTATATTGGAGGCAATTATATTTTTAACTGGGAATCTGTTGATAGGCAGGGAGGGTAGAGGGAAGGCTATGGGGGCTGGTTTTGTAATAGTGGGTTTACAAGTATCGGTGTTTTCTTGGCAGTGGTCGATCAACATAGGAATATTGCTGTAGAATGTCGGAATTACTGTAGTATGCGCTGGGAGAGTAAAGTCCTGGTATGAGACCTGCAGAAATAACGAAGAGCTTGAAGATAAGAGTTTAGTTTTTAATGCTTAACCTAATAGGAACGAGGCATATGACAGGTTACACGTGCAAAATACAACACTCCCTTAATTTGTAGTTTCTCTGCTGAAGTATGTTGGATCATTAAACATAAATTAACTGGGCTGTGTACATTATTTAATCTTAAATACAAGGTTCTATTTGAATTGGTTTGACAGACTTCAGCAGTCGTATAGTAGAGCTGTATAAAAGTGTTCACAGATTACCGTGTCCTTTTATTAAGAAATAAATGTCTTCCACACGAGCATTCTGGTTTTTATTCTCTGTTCTTTGGCTCTGTCATAGTGTGATCAGAATTTTAAAATATGGATACATAAGGATTGCACATCTGCTCTGCTGCTGTAGTTGAGCAGGCATGCATACTTTTTCATTAACATAATGCGCAAAGTTATATTGTGAATATCACTTTTGTTGTATCTTGAGGAGGGATGCATATTGAACTCTACCAGTAAAGAAAAGGAGCTGTTTTGCATGTGATGCAGTTTTAAAGGAGTAAAGTTTTTGGCTGTTCTTAACCTACTGTTAAAAAAATTATTGTAAGTTCAGCTTAAATAACGTGCATTTCTTAAAACTGCTGTGCCTCAAGTGTGCAAATGCTTATATTTCATAAAAGACAAAGGGTGGTCAATTCTAGTAGCAAGATTAACCAGTGTACTTGCTGAGGTTTTTGTAAAATAGAAGGGTTTAGTTCTGGTGAAAGAAGGGCCTCACTGCTATAGCCAAGAAATACCCCCGTAAGTGCCACAGACTTACATAACTCCCCGAAGGTAATTAATTAATTTGCTCAATGGCTCGTCTGTTGTATTTTTGAGGTTGGCCCTACACCATCTAGCCCATTCCTCTTGCTTTCCCCCTCCCCACAACTTCCATTGTGTGTATGATACTTCCAAAGTTTGTTTTCACGACAGAGAACTAAAGAGTTTGCATCATGAATTTCCTGTTTTGCTGTGTTAAAACTTTCAAAGATTGTGCAACTGTGTTCAGACCAGATGAGACAATTCTGTATTGGAAGCAATTTCAGACAATGTGGCACATGAGTCTCTTTGCAGTCCATGTTAATGGCTTTCTGTATGTTCTTCTAAAAATATGTTTCAGAGAAGATATAGTTCAGAAAGGCTGGTGATACAGAAGGTATGTCAGAATTAAAAGAAACAAACTGCAAACAAAAAACCTTGCATATATATGTAATTTTATTAAGCTGCAGGTGGTGATGCATAGTATTTAGGATATTCCTGCAATGACTTGTTCCGCTCTCGGTCCCTTTAGAGGTTTTTCTCCCCTGTAAAAAGTTACCTAGTTTGATTTGAGACTTTTGTGTTTGGCGTACCTCTGTGTTGGGATAGTAAATTGCAGGGTTTTAACTGCCCTTAAACTGAATGGTTAAATGTACTTCCATGTAGGTCTACTGCATTATTATATGAGAATGTAATAAAATGCTCTGTTGTTTATTTAGTTGTCAAGATGAGGTATTTAAAAATGAGGAATTTCTAGGAAGTGTGTGTGTGTGGGAGAATAATAAAAAAGAAAGAATTAAGCCAGCAGATGAATCATTTTAGGCTATGGAGCTGTCTGCTGTAGGCTGCTTTAAATGTCTAATGCGACTATGACTCGGAACACCCTAGTATAAGAACCTGACTTTATTTTGTAGTCAGTGGATGGAGAGAGAGAGGCATTTTCTGCAGGCAGCTTAAGGCACTCAAGGTACGTGCTTAAACTCGGAGCGAATATTCCAGTGTTTTCAGAAGTATTGTGTGCAGTGTTGGAGGGAGGACGTTCAGACAGCCAACTTGGGTATTTTTCAGGATCGGTTTTTAAAAACTGAAAGTATGTGGAGATGCAAGTAGGGATTCAGTACCAAAACTTCCAGAAACATCCATATGTATCCTGACATTGTTCATAACTAAGTCATGTAACAATTGCTGTGACATCTGTTGTGTGAAATGCTGCTTCACTTATTCCTGCAACCGTTTTGTATATTCATACAACATAGTTTTTTGCACGAAAAGGGTTTTGCAGTGAGCTCTACACTAAAACACATGTGGGTTCCTGAAGTCTTGTAGCATTTCATGTAAGGAGAGGGGGCCCAGGCAGTGCAGCATCTTGCAGTGAGAAGTTGCTGAACGGAGATGGGCTCGGTTTAGATGGTGACTCGGTTTAGCTGGAGGATCACTTCAGTTCTTGTGGCTGCTGGAGGGAAGTCTCGGCAAGCAGCGTTAGTGCAGCCGGCTCTAAGCTAAGCAAGCAGATGTTTCGGTGATCTCGGCCATCAGTTTCTAAAATGCTATGAAGGTGGACTCAGTATGCTCTTAGGAGTTTACTTCGCTGCTGTATTTTTGCAGCAGTTCTTTGTGGTGTTGTGTTGATACCTTTGTAAAAGGAGGGTTTTGGTTGAATTGCTTTGCAGGCTATCTGTATTGCTTTATTTAATTTGTAAAGGAATTGAACAGCCAAGACTTAATTCTTCCTGAGAATATTGCAAAAGAATTTTTTAGGGTGGTGGTTTTTTTGCAGACTGTCAGGTTATATAGCCCTTCCAAAACCTGTAGTTTCTTCCCATTTCAACCCACAGTTTTACCAACACTGACTGTGAATTTCCTGGGTATTACAAAGATACTGAGGTAACTCCGCTCTTCTTAAATTAGCAGAAAAATACTGTGGATTTAAGAAATTCTAAAACATTAGACTCCAGAGGAAATGAAGTAACAAGCCTAAATATCACCTTTGTCGTGACAGTTCCTCTGTGGATTTATTTTATTTTACGTCTTTAGGCTTGCTGATCCTGTAGCAAAGCGTGCAAGTGCCTCCAAAGTTTGTATGCGCTTGGAGGGAGAGGTGCCTGCTTCTCCAGCAAGATGTGGTAGATAGGTGAGGAGTGATATGAAAAGAACTATAAAACTGAGTGGGATGAAGCAGCTGTACAGGTAGGATTAACAGAACACATGTGACGAAGGGGTGTCGAGATGGACATGCACAGAAAAGCCCTGAGCAGCGCTGTGAAAGCCAAGGGAAGTAGTTTGAACTTGATGGGTATTTGTATATTAAGAAATTAAAGTAGTGTGAGCACATCTGTCTCCCCTATAGGGCGATTTTTATTGCAACTTTCTTAGAAGCAGAAGCCAACGTAGCAGAGGAGAAGTAAGATTTACAACTTTTTACAGTGTGTTGGGAGGGTAACCGATTGAAATGCACGTATAGACTGAACTCAAAGTGACTGGTGTTAATGCTAAGCTGTCAGGTACTAAAAACTGTGTTTTGTTTCTAGGGATACATAAATTATCTCCAAAGGTACCACTAAAGAGGTTGAGTTAGTGTGAGTATTTGCATAGCCACAAGCGATGAGCAGTATACTATTGAGCAAAATAGTCTTTGCACAAAAATTAACATTCTGATTATCTAATGTATTGCACTCAAGTAATTTTGTGTGTACTTCAGTTCCTCAGACTACTTCACACGTTACTTCTAAGAAGATACAAGTTGAATCAGTGGCTAGCTTCTCTAGTGTAATTGTTTTATTCTAGCTCTTATATTCTATACTCAATTCGGGTTAGCTCAGAATTGTGGCTTTAGCTCACTTAGGCTGAGGTGGATGCAGTTCGTGTGCCATAGTACGATACTATGTAAGAGGTTAAAAAACGTGGAAACTGTGATAAACTCTGAATTTGTGCTGATCTTGTTTTAAAAGGGATTTAAAACTGTGGGTCATGATTTTTTTCCCAGTTGGGCTTTTTTAGCTGAAATATGATCAGTGTAATGCAGCTGTTTTAAGTCTGTGATGAAAGCCAGCTTAGTGTTCCTGAAAACCTTCTCCAGCATGACAGCTGTTCTGCAGCTCTGTGTTCTGTACTTGTGAAAACCATTAGGCAGTTATCTATATTGGCAGAAAATTACTCGGCATGCCTTTATCTGTAGGGAGATAGTCTTTAGGCCTCAAATATGACCAAACTTAGAATTCTTCTGACGTCAAGAGCAACTCTAGATTGGGAACGTGCAGTAATACAGAATTTTCTTTCCTGGGCTTGTGCACAATGTCTTTGTGCTACTTAAACAGTTTCTCAGTTCTGCTGGTTGTAATTCTCCTTGGAGGTTGTACGTCTTGCTACAGCAGGACGATGACTTGATACGACCCCAAAAATGTCATTAAAAAGAAGGTGAGATTGAATTTCCTTTGGACTCTGAAATAGCTTATGTTATGTCTGGTGGCTCTGAAATCTTCTCTAAAGAGACTCTTGTTGAATCCAAGAGAGAAATCTGACTGCGTAGCTGTCAAGGTGGTTAATGTGCAGGAGATCCCCTTCTTTTCAGGATGAAAGAGATACTGGTATGTGCTGCCTTTTGTACCTGAAATGTTTGAAAGCTGGTAAAGAGTCATGACTAATTCACAACAGCATGTGTTGAATTATGATGACTAATCTTATTTTTGCTTTAAGTCCTAGAAAACACCTTGAGTATCATTAAAATATTGTCATATAATTACAGCCTGAATTAGGTATGTTTGTATATTGCAAAATGGTGAACGTGAAGCTTAAAAATAATTGAATTCTGTGTTTCATGAAGTGTTGCAGCTTAAATATTGGTAGTCTAGTGATCAAGAAGACTTGCTGAGGATCATTCGAAATCCAGATGAAAAAATGAATGCTTAATGGTGGCTTTTGTCTGCCCGTGCTGAGGTGTAAAGGATAACTCAGGTGTGGAAGTGGTTGATCATGGGCATTCTTTGAGACAGTACAGTGTAGCTTGAGTAATAGCTATGACAGTTCGGTGCTTCTGTGATCTTCTGTCTAGCTGTATCTTCATATCTTTTCCAGAGAGCTCTTTCCGCTGTGCATGTGCAGGTGGCCCCTTTATAGAGAAGGAGATGCTCCTCTCCCATCATGGGTTTTTCCGTTCCCTTGCAGGACCCAGGAGAAGGATTGCTGTTCGTAGAAACAAGCCTGTATTTTGTTTTCTATTTCTCATAAACCTCATGTAGCAAGTTCCTTGGAAACTGAAGAACTTTGAGATGAGTCTTTTTGCAAGTTAATTCCAGTTAGTTGCTTTAAAAATAAATGACATTTTTTCAGATAGCTTCTTTGGCCGGGGTTGTGCATTCAATTGTGGTTTTGTTCTAAGACTGCTTTTGTGATTGGTTTTGAACTTTCTCTTAGTTAAGCTGCTTCACACTTCACATTTATAAATATACAGCTTTCCTTTTCACTTGATGTTTATCAAGAACTAGTGCATACTCACTTTTAAATGGAATCAGGAGTTTGCCCTGAATCAAAATGCAGCAGGAAAATAAACAAATATTGTGCCTCTCTGACTTTCTCCATTCCATACTTTCCCCTTGTTTGTTGTCTTGAATTAAGTGTAACCTTGATTTCACATCCTCTCTTTCTTTTCCTCCTTCCTTTTTGACAAACCAGAGCTGTTTTAGATAAGAACATCAAAGAGGAGAAGAAAGAGGAGTAATTTAGTTCACAGCTAAATACCTACATTTCTTTAGTTCCTCACCTATAAGCTTTAAGCTCTGGAAGATTTTATGCAGTGTATCATAAATTTAACATAGCTCTTCCATAATTTTATTGCCATATTTAAGAGTACAACTGGTTTTAGACAGAAAAATCATAAACACTTTTTTTTTTTCTATGAAATTTCCCCTTACTGTGTGAACAAGACTTATCTTGATGTAAACATTTTCTGTAGAAACTACCAGTTGTGTAAATATGTGGGGATTTTGGCTGGGGGTGCGGGTTGTGGACCAGAATGCCTAGAGATCATTTTCACTGCAGAAATGGAGAAATGGGGTTGCCTGTGACTCAATGTCCAGATAGTCACTATCTGGAGTTGCGAAATGTGCATTTGAAGGTGTTTATAAATAACTCATTTTGATAATTTGATTACTTTTTATTGTAGTTCTGCATTTGACACAAAAACTGGGTTGCGTGTGGCTGTAAAGAAGCTGTCCCGACCATTTCAGTCTATCATCCATGCCAAAAGGACCTACCGAGAGCTACGGCTACTTAAGCACATGAAACATGAAAATGTAAGTGGAAGGGGACGGTATGAAGGGTTGGTCTAAAGTTGGACTATCCAGTGAGCATCCAGCATGACTGTATTTAAGAAACTGGTTGCATGGGTTTTTCTAACACAAATACAAAGCTTGCAGTAGTCCAAGGGATTATCGTTGTAGAAAAGCATTTACATTAAAAAAAAAATAACCAAACCAAACAAACCAAAAACCACAGAATTAATTTTGTATTAAAAAGTCTTAATACATCCTAGAATAATCTGGAAATTACTGCTGAGCAGGTTCATGCTGTCTTAAGGATTTAGGACACGGGTGATGTCACTTACATTCTCCTGCTTGCTTGCTGTAGCTATGTTAAGAATTTATTTAAAAACAAAACCCAAAATCTCAAAGTTTGTTTTTGGTGTTTTCTGGAGGGTTTTTCATATTTGTTTGTTTTGGCTTGCCTGTGTCAGAAGGGTGTGGAGTAGATGTTCGCTAGGTTCCTGTTGGTAAAATAGGGAGGAAAAAAGGGGGTGGTGAGAGTGTGGAAATCAGATGGCTTTTCATACAAGCCATCCACTTAAATCATCAACAGCGAAACAAAATAGGATGTGACAAATGTTATGTTGAACTATTTTTTGATATAACCTCCATTTGGTATAGAAAACGGTTGGTTGACCAGTTCTCTGTGTGTAGCGTTAACACACCAACGTACTTAAATTGCATGGTGTTTGGAGCAAAAAGTCTCATAACGTGCCCTCTATAGAGCTGTCAGAATGTCGAGAGGAAAGGAAGGCCCTTGATTTCTTTTGTCCAAGAAAACTTGGACTTAGCAGAAGGGAAATACTGTGTTGGAAGTGAGCTGAGCAAACCTATGACCTTTATCTAGCGCAAAAAGCCAAACAAGCCTGATTTCATTGGAAGGTTCTCCCTGGATGGTCCGTTCAGAACTTCTTTTGTTGTGGCAGTGGTGGTTGTGCGTTGTGGCTTCTAACCACCGCAGTCAGCAGCTGGTATCCCGTAAATCTTCTGGCGTTTTTAGTGTGGCTAACGTAATTGGAACTTCTGGTGCATGTATGTACTATTGTCAACAATTCTTCCTCAGTGTCTCTGTATGATACCATTGTCTCAACAGTAGAGGTAGCATTTGATCCTGCTTAATATCCATCCCTTCAAGTTTTTTCTGGACCTTTTCGCATAGCTGAGATATTCTCCAGACAGGAAAGCTTTGAACATCTGTTAACAAAAATGAAATAAAATCAGCGTATCAATCCATTTTGTCTAAGCTAACAAGACTAAGCAATGAAAATGTGACTGACTGGTGCTACAACAGTTCTGTGTCTGGCATTCATTAATATTTTTGGATTAGTATTGCAAAGAGCCTATGTAGCTTTAACAGTAAGGGGTAGAAGGAAGTTAAGTTGTTTATATATAGAAATATTTATTATCAGTTCATCATAGCGTCATCTATCTGTGGGAAGTTTATCTAGGTTGTGGTTTAAAAATCCTGCAGATGCAGAGATGTTCAGAGCCAGTTCAGGCAGGCTTAATTAGTGCTAGTGTCTTACTATTCAGATCTCAGTTTGGAAGTAAAACACCTGGTTTTACGTGGCACAGAACACACAAATCTGATAGGTATGGTGGTTGAAGGGGCTTGAGCATAGGATGGTTTTCTATATCTCTTATCTAGTCTGGTTCATGATGATCTTGAGTAAATAAATGGACCTGCAGAGCACTTGAGTGTGTCTGCATTGTATTTTTAAGTCCTAGGAGGCCTTGTTAGCTTGCATAAAACACAATGCTGAGCAGATGGAAGAGCAAATGGGTTTGTTGTCATATGAAACAATTCATAAGCTCTGTGACATCCTAAAATGTTGGAAGGGGAAAGCAAGAGGTTAAGAGTTGGATTCTGAATCTGTTGGTGTTCACACTTCTTACGAAGTGAGTCAGTGATGCACTGCAGAATAACTGTATTTAAGTATTTGTGAAACTCGATGAAAGATATGGGTAGTTTGATACTGTGCTTTACGGTGCAGCAAGATGGAAGTGATAAATGAAAAAAAAACCCTGAAGTCTAGATAGCAAAGTGAGTTTTTGTCTTTCCATACTAAAGTGGATGGATAACGTTGAATTTTTCTGTAAAACTGATATGGAAGGGTCCACTGGAGAAAGAAGCTGTAAGCATGAGAGTTATTATACAAGATGGATCTGAATGGTAGAGTTTGAAGATGATGTCTGTCTAGAAATGGAGTTGCGGCAATGTATATCAAGAGAGGCAGGAAAGCATTCTTTCTCTTCAGTTTCCTCAATAAAATGTAATCTATAATATATGATACAGATTAGACAAGCTTTTATTTCCTACCCGCTTGCTCTCTTTTCCAAAAACGTAGTCTAGGTTTCCCAAAGATTTTGTCTTGATAATTCTCTGCTTAAAGGTAACTCAATTGAGTGACATCCTTGAGGAGTGTAAACAATGGGATAAAAAGGATGGTGCGAAGGGGGACACAGGAATCCAACTCCTGGTTTCATATGCACGCTTGAACCTTTACTGAAGTTGCTGAAATGTGTGTGATGCTTTGGTATCTGAGACAAGTGAGACGCTGACTTGAAAAGGAAAGAGGAGTTTTTTGGAGGTGGATGAAGAGAACCTGTGTCTCTATCTCCTGTATTCGTAAAATAAAATACTACTTGCTTTCAAGAGAAGGAAAATAAGGTTAAAAAGCGAATTTTGGTGAAAAATAGAATAAACTTCATTGACCAGATGCATGCTTTTCTTTTAAAAATTCTGTAAATGACCTAGAAGATAATTATGGGATAATAAGGTGTAGTTCTTTTCCGCAAAGTAACACATGCATGTCCTTTTACTCTGTACTGATAGAACAGTTTAGCTGTAAAATGAAAGGTGGAGTAGCTGCTCTTCAGGCAGAAAATACAAATGACAGTGTGAAGCTGTCAGCTGTTTGTGAAAATTGGGTCCTCACAGTGTTGCACTGTTTCCCTGACTTACTTTCTAGTGTAGTCATTATTATTCATTGCTTGTGTTACAGATCCTTGAATTTTTCTAGCCATTACTCAGTACAAGTGAAACAAATAATAGTCTCTCAATTCTGATTTTAGTATGTAGTCAACAGTATAACTAAGAATTGAGCAGGAAGCACACAGTTTTGTCTGGGGTTTTTTTGTTGTTGTTGTTCTCATCCATTTATTTCCTGAACAAGCTTTAGTTGGCATGTGAAATAAGGTATTCTAAACCAGTGTTTACACCTGCCTTTTGTTATGGCTCCCATTTGATGCTTTAAGTGGATGGCTGGTCTGAAGAGACAGCTGTATATTTTTAACCTTAATTTTTGTTTTTTTACACAAGAATTGAACGTTTGTTTCTGAATTTGTCTACATCTGAATGACTCATGTAGTTGGAAATGAAACATCTACTGGAATGAGTAGTTTCTGTTCCACAAAGGGTCTTAGTAACTGTATGATATTATACTATGAATGTATTTCACAGCTTTTTCATTTTACCGTTTCCTTTCTAGGTGATTGGTTTATTGGATGTGTTCACCCCTGCCAAGTCACTAGAAGAATTCAATGATGTGTAGGTAACTTCTCTGAAGACTGCAACAGAACATCTTTTTTTATCTTCATTGCACCTCCCAGATTGTTACAGAAATACTTATCACCTTAATTTGTCTGCCATCATTCTCAAACAATTCTGGATTCTAACACAAGAGATACTGGGATATTCTAAACTATTGCATTCATCAAAGTTGTTCACTTCTGTTTTATTGACCAGCGCTGTAGGAGTCAGTGTCCTAATCTGCTATGTTATTTAGTGTCTGAACTATATTTCATTCAGCAACACGCTTTGGGACTGATGCTTCGTAGGGAAATTTTATCCTAATCCCGTTGAAGGGATTGCTTCATAGCCTATGCGTTTCCTTTGTTCATAGGTACTTGGTGACACACCTTATGGGAGCAGATCTGAACAACATTGTGAAATGCCAGAAACTCACAGATGACCATGTGCAGTTCCTCATATACCAGATTCTTCGGGGACTGAAGGTACTTGCACCTGTCCTACCTGAATGTTGATAGCTCATCGATGGGCGGTGGAAGTTCTTGATGAACGTCATCTCCTCAGAGATTCGTATGAGTTCATATTGGGGCTTCTGTAGCTTTCCTAACCTATCGTAGGATAACCTGTTGTTATTGTTCCTTCCCTTCATAGCTCTTTGGAGCTCTGTATCAGTAAAGCTATGTTATCATTTGAGAAGATACGTCTATATGTTCCCATGGGCAGAGTCTGGAAAATTATGAAGTATGCTGCTCTCTAAGCTGCTCTGAATCTTCCATGTCTTCAGTTTTGTTTACTTTTGTTCCACTTGTGGCAGCAGTGCTCCTGGGTGTTCATAAGGAGAGGCAAAATGAAACACCTACCTACTTGAAACCCATAGACATGCACTCGGTTCCTTCCACAGACAAGCTGTAGCGTTTGAATTGTGTGGGATGGGGTAGGGCAGTGTTGTCTAATGAAGAAATGAGAAGGAGGCTACTTGGACTGTTATATAAAATTTGTCATCTTACCTTACAGTACATCCATTCAGCTGACATAATACACAGGGTGAGTATTTATCCTAAGATTGCTTCCTGTACTGACCAATGTCTTTAAAAAATGTAGTGCAGAATCTTACAATGTAGTACCTATAGAAAAAGAAGTTTTCTGAGAATTCTTTCAGTTAAACAGTCAAAAGGTTAAACATGGGAAGTGGTTGTCAAGATCCATAGTTTCTGTTCCTGCCTGTGTTTGGCTTGTATCTTTGTGCAATAGGTTCTCTATTTGTTAAATATACCTCTACAGCACTGGTGTTGCAGTAAGCCTTTATGTGTTTTTGCCTATATGTGACACCTCTGAGGACTAAAGAAGAGATAGCTGACTCCAGGATAAAATAATTTTCCTGAGTATGGAGCATTGATATTTACGGCCAGTTAGAATCTATTTTCTATCTGTATTTACATTTTTATCTACTTTAGACTTGTGAAACAACATATATACCACTGTTAATGCTGATGTTTAATTTTTTAGGATTTAAAACCTAGTAACCTAGCTGTAAATGAAGACTGTGAGCTAAAGGTAACGTAATCACAAGGTCTGATAGGTTTGACTGTGATTTGGGTGAATGCCTTGTGGATGTCCCTTGGAATTAAAGGGACAAAATAATTCCTTATGGAAATACTTCTGTGGCCCAAAGTAATAATGTCCTTCCCAGCTGTAAGGATGGTTTTTCTCTGTATCTGTTCATGTGTTTTTAATGTATCATCATGAAAGTGAAGAGTTAACAGCTTTAGTCTGCGTTTAATTCTTTTAGAGAGAAATTAATGCTTAATTCTTGATTCTGATTGAGTCTTACGCTGTTCTAGGCTAGTGTCTTTTAACAGGTTGTGAAATTTAGTTTCATAATCTGCTTTTGCAGTTGCACCACCTCTCTTCTACCCAATCCAATAGCTGCCGAATTATTTGCTCTAACTAGTTTGCGTTGTTCTGCTGCAGTAGTTGGTAGATGTCTTTTCTGTTCTGTAGATCCTGGATTTTGGTCTGGCCCGACACACAGATGATGAGATGACCGGGTATGTGGCTACCCGGTGGTACAGGGCTCCTGAGATCATGCTGAACTGGATGCATTACAACCAGACAGGTAATGCATTCAACTAACACATGGCTTTTCAGTTCCTGAATTGTGGGGGGGAAATAAAAGACGTGGTTGTCATTTGTATGTGCTCCTTTCCATTTGATCGCATAAGTTGGCAGTCACAGTCATTACGCTTCAGTAAGGGTGATGAAAAGAAGGAAGGCACAGAATTAGTATTTGAACCACAGTCTACCGAATGCAAGTGAAGAATCATTGTGGTAGTATTCACAAGACTACTTTAAACTTGAAGTTGCAATCAGCAAAATGTTGTCAGCACTTATCCCTTATTTTTCCTAGCACAGTGGTTTTTAAAGTAATGAATGGAATGTATCTGGATGAGGGGAAGCTGCTGGGAATATGCTGAAAAATGTTGGGAATTTGTGTGAGAAGTGTGAAGAAATGCTAAAAAGTATATAAAAATCTCCCTTCCTTTCCTCTCTTCTTAGCCACTTCTTCACAGTTCTATCTTCCTCACAGTTTCCAGTATCTTCTCAGCAACACACCGTGCTTCCCTACAGTACTTCCAGATAAGGCACAGAGAAGAAAAGCAAATTCTGAGAATAGTTCTTGTACAGGAGAGCATATAGATTAAAGAAAATAATGTGCTACTCTGATTTCATACCTCACTACTTTTTCTTCTTTTCTCTTTTCTTCTTGCATGTATATCTACTTGCCTTGTATCTGTAGTATAATAGTTGGTGGTTGTTGAGGTAGAATTTATTTAAGGCCATATGCAAATTCATTCCTCAGAGCTGTCTTGAACAGGTTTCTTCCTCTTTGAGTGTGTAGATTCCTCCCCAGCTCGTTGGCGTTCAATGCATGTTATGCTCTGGAAGGAAAATTTGCCTGATCTAGTATTCTGTTATTTGGACAAGTCTTAGATGACGTAGTTATGGAACAGCATCAGTTAGCTTGCAGTGTGTCTCGGATTGTTCCAATGCCATAGGACTATTTAAGGATAAAGTTGTTTCTACTTGTTGGATAGAGTGATTCTGTTGAGACTATTTTTCTGCATTATGTTGTTTTGTTTATTTTATTTTGTTCAGTTGATATTTGGTCAGTGGGATGCATTATGGCTGAACTGTTGACTGGAAGAACGTTGTTCCCTGGTACAGACCGTATCCTTTAAAAGTAATATATTTTTCTGAAATTGAAGTTAGAGATCTGCACTTTCACGTACTTCACAAGAAAATAAGTTCTGGGTTTGTTTGGTTGTGGGGTGGGTTTTTTGTTTGCTTGTTTTTAAATTTAATGGCTTCTTTTACTCACAGTATGATGAGGTGAGTTCTTGATTTTGCTGCACGTGAAACAATCACAATGTGCAAGAAGGCAAATCTGTTCCTCTTTATTGTTTATTAGCATCACTAGAATTACTCACGTTTGTTTCTGGGACTTACTTTCGTTTAAGTTTATTTAAATTCATTGCTCTTTGAGTTTGTAGAAGGTAACTGCATGGAGTAGGCTGTCTGCTATGAATCCTCTCACGCTTCAGGTTTCCAGCAAATGTGAAGCATCCCTTCTGGCCTCTCTTCTGTATCCCAGTGGTGTGCTGTGAAAGCAGTGGGTTTGCAGATTCTTTAGTGCTGAAGATCTCATTCCAAATTGCTCTGAAATATTTAGGTTCTGCATCCATGCTTGAGTGTAAACAGGTTGAGCCGTCTTTTACTGTATCCTTGTATTGATGTGAAAAATCAAGCTTGAATAACATCTTTTCAAAATTTAGCTGCACCAAAGGTGGACTGGGTAGGACTCTTTGGCAAATTCATGAGAGTGCACTTTGTGAGAGTTGGTCACGATTTTCCCCAGGAAATTAGAACTGAGACTTGATGCAAATTGTTATAGTTACAACTTCTGGTCAGCCATGCAACATAGAGGGGTAGTTTACTACTGGCAAGATTTTTCATAGCCTAGAAATCGGATTTTATTTGTCAGAGAAAATTACATTGCCCACCTTTTAACAAAGTTTATTCTTTCAACCACAGTTTTATTTTAATGACTTTTATTAATTTATTAGTGTTTATATCTGTTAATGCATGTATGTTAGCATTTGATTAAAAGAAAGCTAGCGTTGGAAGTGCTGGCCTTCTGTGTACTATTACTTCTGGAAAGCATCTAGATTCTAAAACTCTTTGGTAGGGGGAAAGCTGTCATTCCAGTTTTGACAGTGTTTCATCTCCCTTTTCAATGTGCTTCAACTTTACCCTTTTTTCTCTCTTTCTGCCTGTCTCAGTCTCATAATATCTCTCGAAATTTGTGGAACTTGCTATACTTTACTGTTCAGTTATCTCTGCTGTATTTTTCTGTTGTCAGGGACAGAAGCAGAACTAACATGAAAGTGGCTCAGAAGCTAGAAGAAAGTTACCATACTTCTAATTGGCTGATTTAGCACATATAATTTAGTTTGAGCAGATTTTGTTTGTTCCTGTAAAGAAAAAATGAGAAGCGAGACTTGTTGATTCAAACAAAGCAAAAGTCTTTAAACTGTTGCTGCCATTTAACCCTAGTAATACTTTAGATTTTAAAAAAATCTTGATAGTTGCATGTAAAATATTTGCTAATAGGATTTGCAATATGTAAGAAATGCTTCACAATGTCTTCTTTATGAATTGAACAAAACAGTTATCTTCCAAGCCTGCGAAGTTTTTTCCCCAGCTGCGTTCTTAGCTGTGAATTATAGCCAATAACATCCGCAATGCAAAATAAAGTTTACTTTTAGGATCTCAATTGTTTGCTTTGTCATATTAAGTTACTTTACTGATTTATATCTCCTAGCACATGCTTGTGTTTCTTTACCTTAAATGCTCCATTTCTTTTGCAAATGGTAGTAATGCTTTTGAATTAAATGACTTTTCCGTTCTGAATTTGTTACATTTTAAGAAAAATAAGGCCCAATCCTTTCCCATTGTAGATAAAATTTTGTAGTACTATAGTTCTTACAGTTTGTGTGTATGGTTCCCCATTTTAAGTAACATATATGCTGTTTGATCATGAGGTTATGTACTATAAGGGGAACAGGGTTTGCAGTTACGAATCTTGTTTGTGCGTGTAACACTCATCCGAGGATCTAGAAAGGCACCAAGCTGTCAGCTTTCCCTCCAGTTTTGCTGACACCTAAAGACAGCAAGCAGAAGTAAGATAACGGTGGGTTCTAGCTCCTTCGTGTCTTGGAAGGCTCTTTGAAATCTTTATATATGCATAATTTTTGCAGAAAGTTTTAGAAATTTTCCAGAGGTAGATCCTATTGGGTACTTCTGGGCTCTTAATTTTTTTGTGCCCACAGATTTGCTGAGGCCTGTGTTCCTCCTGCAGTGTCACTTTACAACTGCTGACTTACTGACTTTGCAATTAATATTAACATGCTTAATTCAAGGTGTATTTACTGTGCTTCCAGTAGGCAAGGATATAGTATATCCAAATCCACTGCAGTTCTAGGGAATTCACTTTGCAGTTGGAGGCAATGTGGCTATGTATTCTGTGCGTTTAGGAAGCTGGAAACCATTCCTGTTTGACAACTGAAAACTTACATTCTTGCTTTTTGGTATCAAGACGTTAATTTTCTCAACTATAGAGCTTCACATGTCCAAAATGAAATAGATAGCAAACAGAATAGGTAATGCCTTCTCAGGATGATCATCCTCCTTTTCAGATGGTTCTCTTGCTTTGAAATGTTGGCCCCTTTCACCAAGGATTTGGCAGAAATGGTGTGATGTTATTTCCAGTCCATCAGATATTTCTTTATATGACCTGGAGATGCATATATTACTTGTTAAGGGGCTTCAGTACAGGCAAGCTGTACAGTTAATTTAATCTGGTAAGTAATACATTTGTATTATCAGTGCTGTCTATGATGATTATGCCACTGATAAACTAACGCTGAGTTTAGTTTTTAGGTCCTTCAGAACTTACCTGTAGAGATTCTGAACATGGCTGTCATTCACTTAAGGCAAGAATTGTAGATACTCTTAAAAAAACCCAAACAACATAACAAACCAAAACTGTGATCAATATGGGCTTAGCTCTGCAGGATTGTTACAATATCCTTGACTTAAAACTGAATGTAAGCTAATTGAATTGTTCTTATTGTAATCTACGGGTGGAAATATTTGGATGAAAGATGGATTTCTAATATTGGTAACATCTTTGCCAGGAGGTGGCGAAGGGGAGCAAGATTGTGGGAAAGACTAGTCAGAGCCAAAAAAATTGAGGTAATGAAAATCATAGTCCTTTGGGCTTTTAATGTGAGGCATAGCTAGAGGCTTTCTTGTTGTTATTGTTGTATCTGTCTTATGCCAAGATCAGTTTCTGTTAAACATGTATATTCTTAATTTGTTCACAGCTCTTGTAATGTGAATGATTCATACAAATAAGTAGGAAAGTTGGCTTTGTTTGACAATTTGACTTGCATAAAGTGATGTAAAGTACAAATAAGAATATCTGGAATGTTTTGTACTAGTTTAGCCAATTTTCTTTTTCTGTATGTGTAAGTTGACTGTATTTCCTTTAAGCTCTGATGAGTATTTTTATTACAATTTTTACTCAGTAATACAAGACTTCCATGATAACTAACCAGCCTGAAATCACATATTCTTTTGATACATCTTATTCTTGCTTGTGGTGGCAGCTAAAACAACTTCTGAGCTTTGCTTGGCCTGGATAAGCTCTTACAATCTTGCGATGCGTGCTGCTGATGGTGACGGCAGGTTGTTTGCTGAATTTTAGAATTGCTGAGGCTCATCAGTCGTTGGGGATACCTTGGTGATGGCGTTTGGGGTTTGCATGCTGCGCTTTCCTTCTCCATGCACATGTGTGTTACTTTTCTTTTGCTTTGTATTTACCAAGTCTTTCCTGTCTTTAATTGCTTATGGCTTTTTTTTCTTGGGCGGGGGAGGCCCTGTAGTTTAATGAAAG